AACAAAAATGAAAAAAAGTTGCTGACAAATCAAAAGGACCAATCTGGAGAGAACGCATTTATTCAAGACAAGACCCTGAAAGAAGATGAATAGGGGAAAATGAGATTATTATGGTGGATCCTGGTTCAACCTGACTAAAGAGGAGGTCAAGACATGGACACAGAAGGGTCCACCACAGGAAGGTCAGGAGACAGGTGTGGGCAAGGCTAGCAGGATCTCAGCCTCCAGAACTGAGGAGAAATAGGTTTCTGGTATTTACGGCACCTGCCAATGGTATTTCATGATGCTGTCCTAGGAAACAAATAAGAGTTCAAAGTTTGACTTAGAGAAGGTGACTGAACTGAGCCTCTTCAGTCATCGTTCTGTGAATGGCAGCAGGAAAGCGATACCGTGTGATGAAAAATCAGCCCTCCTCAGTCATGGCCCACATCTTCCTCCTTCCAGCTGATAACATTAAGAAAATAAGTGTAGCGTGTATAAAAAATGAGTGGTACATACAGGAAGCAGAAATAAATAATACAATCCTAAAAATACTCTATTAGGAATGCAGAAAGGAGCCAAAGGGGGATGGTTTCAAGGTTAAGTATTTCCTGTGAAAAGACTAGAACTGTGTGACTGAATATTTTAGGGAAACAAAGAGGCCCCATGGCCAGAAGCGTTCCCTGCAACTCTACAGAGACCACGCGTGGGAAACCCAGTGCTCTCACGGCCTGTTCTCCTGCATGGCTGCTCCGCTTCCATGCAGACGGGCCTAGGATGACCACAGCCTTGTCTGTGGATCACCACAAGCTGCACTCACTTGCCCAGGAGGCCACAGCCAGGCACAACCTTCACGGGAGGCCCAGCTGGGCTCATTTGCTGGGAAGTGGCACTGGTCAGAATTCCTTCCTCAGTCCTGGAACTTGCAACTGTAACCAAGTGGAAGCAGGGCAGTGATTGGTGAAAATAATGCAGATGGCACATGAGGGCAGAGATGAAGATGGTGCCCTGGGCATGGTGCCTGCTCTCATCAGCCTCAAGCCCCATCTTACAAGGATGGTTACCAGCTCTGGAGAGGCTCTGGGAGGTACGCAGGGGCACAAGGCCTTCGAGGTGAGACCTAGCGGTGTGTTGACCAGGCCTGCAGTGCAGCCTCAGCCACAGCCCTCCCCCAGCTAAGGCAGCAGGTGGCCTGACCGGGCAGCATTACCATGAGCAAGGAGAAAAGACACTGGGCACAGACTAGAGCAACAGAACAGCCGGGAGAGGGTTTGCCTTGCACCTGGCCGACCCAAAGCAGATCCCAGGCAATCCTCTGAGCACTGCCAGGAGTGATTTTGGAAGGCAGAGCCAGAAGAAACCCCTGATCATCCCCAAGTGTAGCCCCAAAACAAACAAAACAAAGAGATCCAGGACTCTCTGCCTCTCCCCTGAGGATACTGACCATAGCCAAGAGTGCTGGGCATATGCGCCAAGAAAGAGGGAGCAGGCAGCAAGAAGGGCCTGGATGGGAGTCTGTTTGGGCCCAGCAGATGAGACCTCGGGAAAGTCTAGAGGGCAGGGCAGGTGGGGAGACAAACTGGGAGACCACTGGGGGCAAAGCACCAAGGGCACCTGTGCTCGGAGTCCTGGACCCTCACAGACCTTCTCTCCTGGTGAGCACAGACCACTCCAGAAGCCGGCACACTCAGGGACCAGGGTCTTCTAGAGTCTTGGACCAGAGTCTCCCATCAACTCTCCAGATGTCTATTGCCTGAGTTCTCACCTTCCAGGACCTCGATAAACCACCCAGAATCTTCCTGTTCCTGCCAGGCTGCTTCCAACTCACCTCAAGTAGCAAGGACACACTGGGATGGGTCTCTGGTACTCTGGGATTGGTGTGGCCACTTCCAGCCTCTTCCTCTCTACTTCCTAAACCTCCCACCTTCCAGCGACTCAAGACTCCCAGGCCATCCTTCTGGGCACTTTGCTCATTTTTCTGCTCTCCCCCCTCTGTGAGTCTGCAGAGCCTTCCAGCCTGTTCAGGACCACCTGGGTGATCCAGCACTGTTCTAGAGGTTCCACAGAGCACCAAAGAGCCACTGAGCCCTGCCACTGAGCACCCCAGTCTTGCACCAGCCTCTCCTATCTGATCACATGCACCCCCTGGAAGTCTGCCCCAAATATTTGGCACACAGTGCCTCAGAATGCTGGACATGGGGACGTTTACTAAGACTGGACCAATCACTGCCCTTCAGGCCTCCTGCACAGAGAAGCCCAGCCAACCCAATGAAAGGTCACAGAGAGGGTCTACATAGGAGCCAAAGACAACCATGAGCCACCAACACATGGTGACAGGCATATTTCATGTAGCCAAGAGTGCCCTGGGGGAAGATGCTTTCATCCAGAGAGACAAACACAGGAGCTTGTGCCTTCCCAACCCAGAGGGATGTGGCTCCAGCAAGCATGCCACCTGCCAACAGGCTGCTCCAGCCCCAGCACGCAGAGAGGCCAAGTTCAAGCTCGCCTGAACACCACTTCCACCCACTCAAGCTTCTCTCAGCTGCCCCGCCCCATTCCTGACCATCTCCTGTTCAACCAGGGTCAAACCACCACCTTCCCCCATGGCCTCTCCAGCTGCCCCTACCTGCACACCTAGTTAAAAACATTCCAGCTGTCCGGGGCTGGAGCAATAGCACAGCAGGTAGGCTGTTTGCCTCGCATGCGGCAGACCCAGGTTCAATTCCCAGCATCCCATATGATCCCCCGAGCATCGCCAGGAGTACTTTCTGAGTGCAGAGCCAGGAGTAACCCCTGTGCATTGCTGGGTGTGACCCAAAAAGAAAAAGAGAGAGAGAGAGAAGAAAAAAAAAAGAAAAGCATTCCAGCTGACTGACACTCAGGCCTCCTCCTCTGACCCACACTCAGCCCTCAACCGCCACAGGGGGAGGCTGTGCTGGAGCTGGGGCCCACGGGAAGGGGGCAGGGGTTCCAGAGGAGGGGCCTGTCCCAGGTCAAGCTAGTGTAGGCCCATCACAGCTGTGGCTTCCACCACTGCCAGTCTGTTCAACCCAATGAACTCCAAGCTCCGTGGGTGCTTTAGTGCGGGGACCCCAACCCAGGGCTCAGCCGCCAGAGCATCTGTTCAGAGCTGGAGTCCAGCCATGGGCTGCTGAGTGCATCTGACATCCCGGCAGTGCGGGTATGGGAGAAACCAGAGATTCTGCCAAAATGGAAGTTTTACTCCTTCCTCCCTTCCTTCCTCATCTAGGACCCAGCACAGACATTCAGAAAGCTGCAAACATGAACAGGGCTGAAAGATATCTACACCGATAGGGTGAAGACGGGTGAGGGAGGGAGGAGAGTGAAAAACGGAAAAAGAGAAGCCACTGGGGCTCTGGCCAGCCACCTCACTCAGGAAAGGCCCTGTGGTCACTACCAGAAGGGCAGACAGGTGAGGAGCCACAGCCAGCATGGGTTTTTCAATCCATCCTCATTAGTTTTTCAATCCCTCCCCAAGGGTCATCGCAAAGGACTAGCCATAACTACTCACCTCCGTCTGCGAGTGGGGAACCCATGCCGGAGATGCTGAACCCTCCCTGTCTCCCACATCCGAGACAACGCCATGGGAAGCAGAGGGTCCAGTGCCTTCCCACCAGTCTAGGGCCTTTGAGCCCTGCTTTCCTGTTCTCCACTCGGGAAGTGGATCCCAGTGCCAGCGCGTGAGGTTGGTGTGCAGGATCAAGCCCTCTAAGCCGGGCTGCTGTCAGCCCACAGTGCTCACCAAGAGCACAGCCAGGGCCTCACTCAGGAGCTCCTGGGGAGACTAGTTCACAAGTGACTCAGCAGAGAGTCAAGAAGGAAAACACGGAAGCCTCCAGGCCCTTCTTCCTGGGAGGCAGCACATTCCAAGGGCCTGGGAAACGTGTTAGCCACCTACACCTCAGCTACCTACAGGGGATGAAAACAACCTTCCCACTGAGAACTTGCTGCAAATGTGGAAGAGGCTGATGTCTGCCAAGGGCTACTTTTGTATTCTTCCCTCTGTGCTTGGCAGACCCTAACACGGCAAGGTCCAGGCAGTTTCAGTGCTGGTCATACTGCTGTCTCCTCTGTGCCCATTGTGGAGACGTGCAGACTCTGCTCCCTGCCCCCAGAGTGCACAGGGGCACAGACCCCTGCAGGTAAAAGTGTCCCTGGAAGGCTAGGTGTCAGAGCCGCAATCTCCATGCTCCAGGAAACTCCCAGGTTCTGTGTGGGTTCAGGATGTGGCAGGTTCACTAGCAACTAAGAAAGATGGTGAAAACCCTAAACTCAGGAGAAATAAATGTAAATCCTCAAAACTGCTGGAAGAACCATCCATAACACTGAGCCAGGTTTCAAAACATTGTCCCTTCTTGTTACACGCAGGGTGCCACTGAGGCCGAGGCTCTCAGAAGCACACAGAAACCACAGCAACGCTTCGAGGTGTTGCTTATTTGAGACCGGTCTTTCTAAAATTATTTTAGGTTTTGCCGCAGGTGCAATTTGGATATTCATCCAGGTGTTATTTTAGCGTTTACCTGACTTGAAGGTAGGTAAGAGGTGAAAAATGTAACAGTGAAGAACCAATACACCCAAGAACCGGAATCACCTGCAGAAATTACTGTTTGGGGCACTAACCAAGCTGCAAGAGACCATCCGCGCTTCACACTTTAGTGCCTAATGATAAGCAGGTGTTTACAGCTAGAACTACATCCTGGAAGCCTGTGCTACTGTGAAGATTTACACCACGGTCAGAGAAGAGAAGCCTCAGAGGCACAGAGGCTGAGCTGGGACAATTTTGAGGGTATGGAAAGTAAGTGGCTATGACAATTTGTTCTTTGTTCTATCCCTTTTACTAAAATAACTTTGCTCAGGAAATCACCAATCACGTGAAGGCAAAAGCTGCTTTTGTATTCTTCCCTCTGGCTTTGTCTCTTGGAGTGCAATATTATTTTAAGAGGACACTGCATTTTCCTTTTGTGACCTGGCATTTCTGGGGCACAGAGACAAACACTCACCATGATGTCTCCTTTCAGGAGCTGGGCCGGTTCTATGGCGATGAAGATCCTGTTTTGGTGTTCTGGGCCAATAGTGCTTTCGGATAAACAAGAAGGGACATCATTATACAATTTCACCTTACATTCAGAAAAAACAGATTCAGAAAAATAATCTGACACCGAAAACTCAGAAATCCCACAAACTATCCCACAGGCTCATGAACCAGCGGCTAAGGTGGAAAGTATAGAAATGAGGCAAAACGGTACAAAAAGGTCAGCGGGTCAGGCCAGGTCCTGGAGCCACATCGGATGAGAGAGCGGCTTGGGCAGCACAGAGGCAGGCTGTGGCACCGGACGCCAGCAGCCAATAAAGCACAGCATGCATGCCACGGTCCAGGGGTGCTGGGCCACCGCAAAGTCCAGAACACGACGTTGGCTCATCTGGGCTGGACGCAAACCTTTTTAAAAACCTGTACCTATTTTGAATGATGTCATAAAACTCTACCTAAACCCCAAAGGCCAGAAATTAATACAAATCCTGAAGTTGTGTGCCTGCAATGCAAAACTCAGGAGAACCTGAGTCTGCAGCAACGGTCCAGTGGAGAGGTGCTCGCCTTGTACAGGACTGACCTCAGTTTGATCCCCAGCACCCCGTATGTTCTCCTGAGACTGCCAGGATGATCCCTGGGTGCAGAGCCAGGAATAAGCCCTGAGCACAGCAAGATGTGGCCCAAGAAAACTAAATACATAAAATAAAGTAGAGAGAAAAGAAAACTAAAACAATCTCATCACAGAGCTGGAGAGACAGTGGAGCAGGTGACGATCTGAGTTTGATCCACCACAGATCCATCACCAGCAGTGATTCCTGAGCACAAGAGCAGGAGTCAGCCAAGTACGACTGGGTATGGCACCAAAACTGAACCGAAACAAAAAAACCTGTCATCATACTTTGCCCAAATCTGACACAGCCCCTGTCCCCTCCAGGGGCCAGCACTCATGCCTGACAGAACCTGCCTCAGCCCTGCTTCCCATTCCCAACCCCCCGCCCCACCAAGCCCCAGGAAAGCAGACTTACTAGATGCCCGACGTGTACACAGGACGCATGGCTTGGTAGAGCTTCAGGAAGGGCCGGCACACTGCAAGACAGCAGAGCATGAAGATGTGACATGCAGAGAGGAAAGGGCCTCAAGACAGATGCCTGCGGCAGCCTTGAGGGGGTGGAGGCAGGCTCCTGGGGAGGGCTGTGTAACTCCTCGCTGACCCCTCACTGCGCAGGCAGACCCACCACCTACAACGGCTCTGTCCAGTGGCCAGGCTGGGGAGGAAGGGAGGCCACAAGCCACGCCCTGTGGAAGACTCACCTCCACCCGTGTCAAAGTTGGGGGTGCCGTGGAGGACGGCGAAGTGCAGGAACAGGGGTGAGGCGTTCATTTTCACCACTCCTGACAGGAGCCCGCTGAGAAACTGAACGTATCTGCAAGAGACAACCCACTCAGAGCTCCATGGGGCTCTCTGCCGCGAGGCTGAGGACATGCGTCTTGGCACCCGTGACTCCCAGAGGCACGCAAGACCCCCAGCAGATCTGCACTTCACACCCCAACCCATGTGTACAGGAATGAATAAATGAACCAATGAGTGAATGAATGAATGAATATCAAGACACCCCTAAGACCATCCCAATAGTCTGTCAAAGAAGAGCTGACTCAACAAAGCTGCGGATTAAAAGCAGTTTTTCCAACAGCATCACGATTTTTCCCACAGATATCTTTTCTTTCTTTGCAGGAAACACTCTCCCTGGGGATGATGTTTTCCATGCTCCATCGCAACTAGCAAATAAATTTTAAATATCAAGCTTTCGAATGTCAGGGAACTAACACAAAACCAGATGCCATTTCTGTACCTAATCCACAGGATGCAGCCATTCACCAAGGCAGAATTTTTACATCCGTAGTTTCTCTAAAACTCCCTGTTCATAAAAATTTTTTACTTGGCATAAGCTTAAATCTCCCCCAAACCCTTAATATTCAAAGTTCCATGTGAAAACGTGACTTTGGTAAGTCAAAGGACTATCCTAAAGGCACATCTCGCCCTATAACTCTTAAGTTTCCCCTCCAAGATACATATGGAATCAGGTGCTGCCCTGTCCCGCAGCAGGGGCCCCTACTGGAAAGACAAGGCTTGCCAAAGAGCCTTCTGTGCTCCCTGCCCTGGCCTGGACAGCACGATGACAGACCACAGCAGTGGCGCACTGCTGGAGGGATGTGAGGGACAGTAAGGAGCTCTCTGTGGAAAACGCCTATGGACGCCATCAAAGGCTACGCCAGAGCAACATCACTGGTCATGGCTGGAAGGCTCCCTGAGTGAGAAAAAAGTCCTGATCCTCATGTCTACTAGGCAGGCCTGGGCAAAAGGACATTCAGGATGGAGCACCCCAGCAGGGCACAGGAAACCTGTTTATACTCCTGAAACAGCCCAGGCACCAGAAGAGAATCTGGACAGCTCCCAAGGCTGCCTCGTGGCCCCACGTTCAAGGGGTTCATCACAAACTCGGATCCCAATTAAATATCGTGTCAAAACTTACAGAAATATCAAAAAGCAAAGAATGTATAACGTTGGGGGGGATTTTGAGATGTTTAGATCTGAGAAACACCCTGACCTTCATGAAATTAACTGAAGCGGCATGTCCAGATGGTCTCTCTCAGCCCCATGAGCACTGGGAGAGCTCCCACCTGGCTCTCTGAGCTCCTGGCAGTACCAGAGAAAGCCAGTACCTTTCCCACACTAACCTCAGTGATGAGACCCACAATCTGTGCTGTTGTCTCAATGCTTGGGGCATGGAGAAAAAGTAGCAGAGCAAAGGAGGTCTATCATAAGATAGTGTTATTCATAACTTCTATAATGCTGATGACAAACTATGGCTACAAAAATATTTTTTTTTCTCATTGCTTATCAAAGTTAAAGTCACGGAACCTCTACAACACTGTCATGAGTTATAATCCAGGGCTTGTTTGGGGCAAAGAACTCGTGTCTGTCCCCTGCCACAGTTCCATCTGCTAGAAAGAAGCCATTGTTGAAGGTGCGACCATAGATCAACTGTGCTGTGGCTTTAAGAGTGAGACATAGTGGAGCCACAGAGATAGCATAGTGGATAGGGCCTTTGCCTTGCCCACGGCCGACCCGGGTTCATTCCCTGAACACAGAGCCAGGAGTAAGCCCTGAGCACTGCTGAGTGTAGCCCAAAAACAAACAAAAAAGAAGTGCATGAGAACCCTCCTTCCTGCTCTGCCTCCTCCTGGTAAATCCAGAACTGACTCTGTGCAGGAACAGAGGGAGGGTCATTGCTCAGCTCTGATCTCAGGGACTATGGGCACCAAGCTAATGAAGTCCCTCTTACTGTGAGGTAGAGTCTGAATAACTTCTGAATCTTAGCTCTAAATCAGTCCCCAGGGATCCTGGGGCATTTTGGACACAGACTGTCACAGCACTGTGTGTGGCCCCAAATACGAGCTCACGCAGAGTCCTTCAGTCCAAGGTTGGTTAAGATGTGAGAACTGTGGATCATGAAAGGTTACAGAGAGGACTTCAGTTCTCTTTTTCAATTTTTAGATTCTACTAAGAATCTGTAGCAATTAATAATAATCACTGTCACTGTCCTCCTGTTATTCATCGATTTGCTCGAGAGGGTCCAGTAACATCTCCATTGTGACAATTGTTACTGTGTTTAGCATATCAAATACGTCACGGGGAGCTTGCCAGGCATAACAACAAAGTTGTACAGCATGGAGGGCACTGGCCTTGCACACAGCCACCCTGGGTTCAATCCCCAGCATCCCATATGGGCCCCTGAGCACCACCAGGAGTGATCCCTGACTGAAGAGCCAGGAGTAGCCCCAGACCAAAGTCAAGTGTGGATCCCAAATAAATAAATTTCTAAAAATTAAATTAAATTCAAACAAAAAAGCAATATAGGTATTTTCATATTATGTGCTGAGCAATTTAAATGTAAACATCCTAGTTTATGTTCATCTTCTGCAGGGACTTGTCAGAATGTCACACTCTGGAAACTGTTCAGAGAAATGACAATAATTCATAACAGAACAAGAGGCTGTTCAACTGTAATACAAATAAAATGCTGGGTTTTTTCCACATGACTCCCATGCCGATGAGGTCTGCTGCTCCCAGAGGGGCATGGCCAGGCTCAGATACACAGTCCTACATCAACACATTCCATCTCAAGGCAAACAAACCTGAACACTGGAAACACCCTGGACAGAAGGAAGAAACATGGCTGGTTCTTGAAATCTCTTAGTCAGGAGACCCGGTTCCCAACTAAACACACCCTTAACCCACCTTCTAGATTCAAAAGCAGGAATCTGCTGGTCAAAACCCCCTGGCACTGGAGAAACTGCTAGATCCAGGCAGAGCTACTGGTCTCCACAATGGAAAACTACCTTGGGAATTGCCTTGGCTCATCTTGTGCAAATTCCTGCTGCTTGTTTAGAGTAAGCACAATAAGTGGTGCGCATGGGTACATAGGTCACCAACTACAGGGAAGGAGGATGCTAGGGACATTCTCACTGCCATTCCCTGAACTTTTCACAAACTCTTCCCCACATAGTGGGTGTAGAGAAAGCTAGAGGAGGAGATCTGTGCCCCCACATCCTTTCACAGTATCTTCATGGGCTATTGCATGCAGAAGGGAAAGGGGTGTGGAAGGGATGGAAGTTAGAGTGAATGCAAGACTTCCAGGTCCAAGTGCTGCAAGGTGGTGTGCAGCAGATGGTCCCCCAGGAACCTGTGTGTCTAACAAGCATTTCAGAGGGATGGAGAGACAGTTCAAAAGTCCGAGGAGCATGGGTGACATGCAGGAGGCCTTGGGTTTCATTCCTGCCACCAAATGGCTCCCCAAACACTAAAATAGGAATAACCCCTAAGTATCACTGGGTATGCCCACCCCCTAATACACACACACACACACACACACACACACTTTACAGGAAAAGGACCATGTTTGAATTTCCTGTTGCCAGTGGTCTATGGCAGAGACCACCTTGCCCACTGAACTGTTAGCCTGCAGTTCAGCCAGGCCCAGTGCACTGACCATGTCTCCCGTCACCAGTCCAGTCAGGCCCAGCTCACTGACCCTATCAAGCAGAAACCAGCTTGATAAGTCAGGAAAACGACAGAAGCCCAACAGCTCAGCCCAGGAGGGAGTTCTGGGTCCCCCATTTAGATCACACAGGGTGAAGCTTTCAGCACTCAAAGGAGATATCTTTGCACACCAACAAGTCGCATACCCTGTTTTCCACTGCCCAGCAGAGAGAACTCTCCTTTGCCTACATTTTCATTTATTATACTGTTATTGAGGTAATACTGGCTTAAAGAACTATGCCTGACAGGCACAGGCTGACTCCCCTTCAGATACACCAGGATTCCCGACCCCCCTTCAGTCCTTCCCCTCCCCACTCCCATCTTCCTTGTCCCTGTGTTTGAAATCGCCTCAGACTCTATTCACACTGGCTCAGACAGACACATACCGTTTCTGGGAAGGCTGCATCAGCATTGAAACTTTATCATCATAGAACTTCTTCATTGCAAATCTGTCCAGAGCCTGGTCAGCACTGGGGAGATGGGAAATGGGGGGAAGAGAGAGAAAGAGAGAGAGAATGTTAGTTCTGCAGAATGCCTCCAGTCCTGTGCCAGTTCTGAGTGAGCAGCGCCCATGAGCTTGACTCTGCCCACATGTTGTGACACAGACTTCAGCCCCTGGGCCTCACTGACCCACTCAGGAATAAGTTCAATCCACTGTGCAAGCATCATATGCCAGGTCAAGCACCCCCAGGAGTTCATCTCAGGCATGGCACTCAGGAATACCCCTCAAACACCTAAGAGAACTGGCCACTTGTGTCTTCCCAAAGGTGGACTCAGGTGGTGGCGCATGGTGACATATGGGAACCCAAGCACCAGGCCCCGAGTATATGAGCAATGTCATCACGGACAGTCCACAAGGCAAGTCTGGAAGCTCAGCAGAGAACATGACCACCCATAGAGAAGCAGACACAGGCCAGAGAGCTGGCTGCTTTGTCTCTAAGTGACCACCACAAGCAGCCCTGCTTTCCCAGAGTCCATGGGACACTAATCAGCTCTGCACTGCCCTCCAGTGTTCTCAAAAGAATCTTCAGAATGCCCACACCAGATTTTTCTGACCGGGCTCTTGGCCAAAAGTCTAGGGGTTGGCAAGACTTACCTAAGCCCCAGATTCCCCTAAAATTAGGAATGGGGATGGACCCCTCCAGAAAAGGAAAAGTGCCACTCTACACCTTTTATTATTTTTTTTTACAAAGTTGTTCATGATTGGGTTTCAGTCATACAGTATTTCAACACCCATCCCTCCACCAGTATCTATTTCTCAGCACCAGTCTACACCCTTTCAGAGGGATAATTTGCCACTCGTATCTGTCTAAACAAGGGGCATGGTGGCAAAGAGAGAGCTGGAGCATCACTCAACAGGCAGCAAGCTAAGTTGTATGATTCCGTGCTGAGAACTAGGCCAGTACGTTGCTTCCTGGGGTAGCACTGAAGGAGATGGGGAGGAAATGACTCAAAAAGCCTGAGAGCGTCACCACTTGGCTTGAGAGAAGAGAATCGAAAGGAGCAACCAAACTTCTTAATCAATGCTGGAAGCCAAGATACGGAACACAACAGACACTGAAATCATAATATTCACGTTCGTAACTAAAAACATTGCACAGAACTCACTCTTTCTTGCAGCCACAGTAACCATGGTGGAGAAATATCTGAAAAGCATGTGATTCTGAGAGTCGAACTGCCAAGGACCCACTTTATGGAAAGTACTTCTTACTCTTCAGAACTGGCAGCACTGCTCTAAGGGACTGCCCTACACTGCTACCCTGAATCACACAGATCCCCCAGAGGGAGTCTGTCATTCCCCATCCCACATGGGGACCCCAAGACTGAGAAGGGGGCACAGAACTGCCAGATAAGAGCAACTGAGACCTGTACTGATCATTCAGCCAATGAGAGGCCTGGAGAAGTGCCCAAATGAACAAGGCCCTCACCCTCCACCCCACCCAATGCCAGGGCCTTCCAGACCATGCAGAACAAAGCTACACTGTCACCTGCAGAATGGAAACCACTCTCCCCTCAGACTCCCCAGGCAAACACGCTGCCTCAACAAACGTCTTTCACTCAACTGAGGAGCCTGATGTGACCAGGAGTATGATCTGTCTGGCACATACACAGATGCTTATTATCACTAAGCAGGGATCTGATTTTTACTGGGGGTTCAGTTTCCTCCCTGGCATGCAAAAGAACCCCAATTTGTTTCCAGAGAAAACATTGGAAAAGTCAGATTTCACTCCTTAATGGTAGAAAGGAGAGGATTTGTCAGCTAATATGAATACGCTTGTATTTCCTCAGAATGGAGCGTTTCATGCTTCACAAAGTGGCCATTGAAACGAGAGGGCTCATGCAAATTAAGGCACATAAAGAATGATATTTTTAAGAGGATTCGGCATGAGTGGAGGTATGTGCTGCGAAGTCTAAGGAGGCACAGCCTTTATTGCCTGCTTTGCCGGGGGGCTGGCTTGCGGCTGCGTTTCTTGATGGTCTCCTGGCACCTGCCCTTGCAGGCCCATAGGCACGCTGCCGGCTGGGGGTCCAACACCCCCATGGTGGTACCTTACAACCCGTGCCTCCTCTTCCACCTCCTGAGAACCAGGCCAGACCTTACTTCCAGCTCAACAGAGAGTGGCCTGACTTCTGGGCATTTTGGTTTCCTCATCTGTAAAGTGAGAGCCAGGACACCAGACCCAGGTTATGTGGTAGGACTGCGGGAAGAAATGAACGGAAGCATGGTCTTCTCGAAGGCCCGAAGCGGGCAGAGTCTGCAGCCATTCCTGTTCACAGGGTGTGACCTGATGAGGGATGCAGTGTAGTTCCTGCCTTTAAGAAAGGTGCCATTCATCCCTATTGTTTTTGTTGGTATCAACACTCACTGTTTGCATGCCTCCCTAGGAGTCTTTAGCATAAATCAAATATATTGGCACAACCAGGAAAATGTCTTTCTCAATAGGATGAAGCCTTGGTTGAAAATGGGATCCAGGCACTGAGGACATGGGGCTGCCGAGTCCCACCTCCAGGAGTTCCACCAGGCCTAGAGCTTCCCAGGGCCCAGTGCAGGCAGTGCCTCTGTCCTACCTGGCCGAGACGTTGGTGAAGTGCATATAGGACGATATGACCACTCCAATGCGTCCCTTTCCACCCTGCAGGAGACAAAAGAGGAAGCAATTTCTCAGGAATGTTCCAACAGAGATGCAATCAGAACAGGAAGTGCTCAGTTACTGGGGGTGTAACACAGAATCTGCTCTAGAGGAAAACCAGCACTACCGTGCCAGAGCAAATGCCCACAGCAGGAGCAGAGCGACCCAGGGAGACTGCCGATGCCCCCAGGAAAGGTCTGCGCAGAGATGAGGATGGTTCAACTCACAGTTCACCAGTGAGGCCAGAAATTAACGTAATTGGCCTAGTAACCTAGATGAGACTTGCATGACCCTTAGAGGGTTAATGGCTCGGGGAGTTTGCCCAGAGCAGAGAAAGGCCGAATACAAGGAAACCGCATCCAGAAGGCTGAGAGCAGTGCGGCCCATTGATCAAGGTGTCAAACACACAGCCCAGACAGAGCAGCCCCACTGGGATCGCAGGCAAACACCTTCAGCAAAAAAGAGCTGCTTGGAGGCATTAGCTAAACCACAGGCTGCCTCCACCCAGGACCAGGAACTAGTGCTGTCTAGAACATTCTGCTACAGTTCCTAATAGCAGGCAGTAAACCACAGCCCATGAGACACTTTTGCTCAACACCTGTATCCGCAAAAGTGATTTTTATGCTTTAGTATAACTAGAGAAAGTGAAAAATAAAATTCCGTGACACAAGAAAATTACAAAACTAATGTTTCAGTGTCCTAAAGGTCCGACTGGAACATGCACATGCTTTTGTTTATGGGTAGCATGGGCTACAGTCTTACAATCAGGTAGAATCAGTTTCAACAAGACCACGAGGCCCCTAAACTGACCATCAGGCTTCCTAATGCTGCTGTCCTAGTGATCAGCAGGCATCCCTGTGCTGTGTAACCCCCAAACCACTAACCCGCGTGGTTCTTTTCAGGAAAGTGAAGAGCCGCTATTCCAGCCAATACGTGACTGGAGGTGGTAGGGGTACCAACAAGAGGAATCCCAGGTAGACTCTCGGAACTGGACACCTGAGCATCAGAACTTCTGACAGGCATACAGCGTGTGGACGTGACCAGGAGTCTTCTCTACCGTGAACTTCACTTCTCAGCTCCCTGACTCTCAGGCACACACAGGGTCGAACAGCTGCTGATAGCAGCTCTGCCTGCATTTCTTCTGCATGCTGACCTCCAGGCACTCATGTTTCCTCTCAGGTCCTGTCAAGCCAGCCCACTTGGAGAGCAGCGAGTGTTCACTGCAACAGCCCCCGCTTCGTCCTCCCTGACTGAGAGCTGAGAAGGGTCCATGCCTGCCTCCATAGCAAGTGCTCTTCTCTTTCTGACGAAAAATTTTTTCTGGAGACAGGGAGGTAACATAGGGGCAAATGTTTGCATAAGCCGACCCTGTTCTGTCCTCAGCACTGGTGTCACTGTGGAAGGCCTGAGCGCTGCTGGGATGCCTCAGGAGTCCCAGCCTTGCACCCCTGAGCACTCAAACTGAGCCATTACCTGCTAGCCGAACTATAATTAGAAGTACCCCAGACTTCCAAGATCTGCAACCTCTCCAGACCTCTGAAAGACCCCTCACAATTTTAAAAAGTATTTCTGTGAAAAATAAGCAAAAATGAACCAAAGGGTTCACTCCCCCTAGTACCCTCCCTTAGCTTCTAAAGCCACGCACCCATGGGCCTTAGTCAGATCAGTTCTGCAGGTTTGGGGAGAGGGGTGTACTTTTCTCTCCTTGAGGGTGACTATAAACATCTGGCTATACTACAAGGCCTGTGGCACAATCACAAGTGCCTGAGGACTCCAATACTGGGGAAGGCGCAGCACTTACCCTGCAGTGAATAACCACAACATGCTGGGGGTCACTGTTCAGCCATGACTCCTGGGCCTTGCAGATGCTACACACTTTGTCCAAGGGGGGTGCATGCAGCTCAGGCCAGCCCACATCCAGAATCTGCTAAGACAGAGGAGGCAGCTGAGTTTTCTTCTCTGAGACCACTCACATTGATCTTTTTAAAAAATTTACAAATACATTTTAGCTGATGATTAAAAAAAATTATACTCTGTTGCTCTTTTAGACCTGAGTGGAAATTCCCAGGATTCTTTACTGGAAAGAACAGCATGACATATTTTAATGCCCCAGAGAACTCTGTCCCTGGTATTCTGGATTCTATAAAGAGCAGCAAGAAACTGCTAATGGGAAAAAAGACTTGGGGATGTTGAAACCAGGCAAAATGAGACAGAAATTCTTGGCCATAGTTGCTGCCAAATTCCTCTTAAAAGACGCAATCACAGTTTGGAGAAATGCAGAAGGCATGCCCAGGAAGCATCTGGGAGCAGCCAGAGGGCACGTGTCTAGAACAAACATCTTCTGGGAGAACCTTCAACACTGATCACAGCACATCACAGAGAGAATTCTGTGCTGTGCTGAAGAGCTCACAGATCTGACATGAGTCATGTGGGAGAGGAGCTCAGTGGGTCTGATGAGTCATAGCACATGTGAGGAGCTCAGTGGGTCTGATGAATCATGTGTGAGAGGGCTCACTGAGTCCGACATGAGTTCCATATAGAGGACCTCAGTGGGTCTGACATGAGTCATGTGAGAGGAGCTCAGTGGGTCTGACATGAGTCATGTGTGAGAAGACCTCAATGGCTCTGAAATGAGTCAGGTGTGACATGAGCTCTGTGGGTCTGACATGAGTCGTGTGTGTGACAGGAGCTTATTGTGTCAGATATGAGTCAGGCATGTTAGAGGATTCAGTGTGTCTGACATGAGTCATGTGTGAGCGAGCTCAGTGGGTCTGAAATGAGTCATGTGTGACTGACATGAGTCATGTGTGAGAGAAGCTCAGTGTGACTGACATAAGTCATGTGAGTGGAGCTCAGTGTGTCTGACATGAGTCGTGTGAGAGGAGCTCAGTGTGACTGACATGAATCATGTGAGGAGTTCTGTGGGTCTGACATAAGTCACGTGTGAGAGAAGCTCAGTGTGACTGACATGAATCATGTGAGGAGTTCAGTGGGTCTGACATGAGTCATGTTAGAGAAGCTCAGTGTGACTGACATGAGTCATGTGAGAGAAGCTCAGTGTGACTGACATAGTCATGTCTGAGAGAAGCTCAATGTGTCTGACATGAGTCATGTGAGAGGAGCTCAGTGTGACTGACACAAGTCATGTGAGAGGAGCTCAGTGTGTCTGACATGAGTCGTGTGAGAGGAGCTCACTGTGACTGACACAAGTCATGTGAGAGGAGCTCAGTGTGACTGACATAGTCATGTCTGAGAGAAGCTCAATGTGTCTGACATGAGTCATGTGAGAGGAGGTCAGTGTGACTGACATGAGTCATGTGAGAGGAGCTCAGTGTGACTGACATGAGTCATGTGAGAGGAGCTCAGTGTGACTCACATAGTCATGTCTGAGAGAAGCTCAATGTGTCTGACATGAGTCACGTGAGAGGAGGTCAGTGTGACTGACATGAGTCATGGGAGAGAAGCTCAGTGTGACTGACATAGTCATGTCTGAGAGAAGCTCAATGTGTCTGACATGAGTCATGTGAGAGGAGGTCAGTGTGACTGACATGAGTCATGTGAGAGGAGCTCAGTGTGACTGACATGAGTCATGTGAGAGGAGCTCAGTGTGACTGACATGAGTCATGTCTGAGAGAAGCTCAATGTGTCTGACATGAGTCAATGGAGAGGAGCTCAGTGGGTCTGACATGAGTCATGTGAGAGGAGCTCAGTGTGACTGACATGAGTCATGTGAGAGGAGCTCAGTGTGACTGACATAGTCATGTCTGAGAGAAGCTCAATGTGTCTGACATGAGTCATGTGAGAGGAGGTCAGTGTGACTGACATGAGTCATGTGAGAGGAGCTCAGTGTGACTGACACAAGTCATGTGAGAGGAGCTCAGTGTGTCTGACATGAGTCGTGTGAGAGGAGCTCAGTGTGACTGACATGAATCGTGTGAGAGGAGCTCAGTGTGTCTGACATGAGTCACGTGTGAGAGAAGCTCAGTGTGACTGACATAAGTCATGTGAGAGGAGCTCAGTGTGTCTGACATGAGTCGTGTGAGAGGAGCTCAGTGTGACTGACATGAATCATGTGAGGAGTTCAGTGGGTCTGACATGAGTCATGTTAGAGAAGCTCAGTGTGACTGACATGAGTCATGTGAGAGAAGCTCAGTGTGACTGACATAGTCATGTCTGAGAGAAGCTCAATGTGTCTGACATGAGTCATGTGAGAGGAGCTCAGTGTGACTGACACAAGTCATGTGAGAGGAGCTCAGTGTGTCTGACATGAGTCGTGTGAGAGGAGCTCACTGTGACTGACACAAGTCATGTGAGAGGAGCTCAGTGTGACTGACATAGTCATGTCTGAGAGAAGCTCAATGTGTCTGACATGAGTCATGTGAGAGGAGGTCAGTGTGACTGACATGAGTCATGTGAGAGGAGCTCAGTGTGACTGACATGAGTCATGTGAGAGGAGCTCAGTGTGACTCACATAGTCATGTCTGAGAGAAGCTCAATGTGTCTGACATGAGTCACGTGAGAGGAGGTCAGTGTGACTGACATGAGTCATGGGAGAGAAGCTCAGTGTGACTGACATAGTCATGTCTGAGAGAAGCTCAATGTGTCTGACATGAGTCATGTGAGAGGAGGTCAGTGTGACTGACATGAGTCATGTGAGAGGAGCTCAGTGTGACTGACATGAGTCATGTGAGAGGAGCTCAGTGTGACTGACATGAGTCATGTCTGAGAGAAGCTCAATGTGTCTGACATGAGTCAATGGAGAGGAGCTCAGTGGGTCTGACATGAGTCATGTGAGAGGAGCTCAGTGTGACTGACATGAGTCATGTGAGAGGAGCTCAGTGTGACTGACATAGTCATGTCTGAGAGAAGCTCAATGTGTCTGACATGAGTCATGTGAGAGGAGGTCAGTGTGACTGACATGAGTCATGTGAGAGGAGCTCAGTGTGACTGACACAAGTCATGTGAGAGGAGCTCAGTGTGTCTGACATGAGTCGTGTGAGAGGAGCTCAGTGTGACTGACATGAATCGTGTGAGAGGAGCTCAGTGTGTCTGACATGAGTCACGTGTGAGAGAAGCTCAGTGTGACTGACATAAGTCATGTGAGAGGAGCTCAGTGTGTCTGACATGAGTCGTGTGAGAGGAGCTCAGTGTGACTGACATGAATCATGTGAGGAGTTCTGTGGGTCTGACATGAGTCATGTTAGAGAAGCTTAGTGTGACTGACATGAGTCACATGAAAGAAGCTCAGTGTGATTGACATGAGCCATGTGAGAGAAGCTCAGTGTGACTGACATAGTCATGTTTGAGAGAAGCTCAACGTGTCTGACATGAGTCATGTGAGAGGAGCTCAGTGTGACTGACACGAGTCATGTGAGAGGAGCTCAGTGTGTCTGACATGAGTCGTGTGAGAGGAGCTCAGTGTGACTGACATGAGTCACATGAGAGAAGCTCAGTGTGACTGACATGAGTCATGTGAGAGAAGCTCAGTGTGACTGACATAGTCATGTCTGAGAGAAGCTCAATGTGTCTGACATGAGTCAATGGAGAGGAGCTCAGTGGGTCTGACATGAGTCATGTGAGAGGAGCTCAGTGTGACTGACATGAGTCAAGTGTGAGAGAAGCTCACTGTGGCTGACATAAGTCATGTGAGGAACTCAGTGTGACTGACATGAGTCATATGTGAGAGGAGTTCAGTGGGTCTGACATGACTCATGTGAGAAGAGCTCAGTGTGACTGACATGAGTCATGTGTGAGAGAAGCTCAGTGTAACTCATGAGTCATATATGAGAGAAGCTCAGTGGATCTGACATGAGTCATGTGTGAGAGGAGTTCAGTGGGTCTGACATGAGTTATGTGAGAAGAGTTCAGTGGATCTGCCATGAGACTAGCAGTTCTAAGCATCCGGACCTGCACATGCAGATCCTAGGACACTTTTTGATCACTACTCCCTTTCCTGTCCCCTCTAATTAAAGGGTTCAGAGGAACCTTAACATAAAGGCAACAGAAATAGCATAAATTCATAGAAAACACAGAAAACTGCCAGAAAGCAGGAAAATTCATAACCCCCTTGCACTTCCTTGAGGTCATAGTTGTTAACATTGTTGAATCCCTTTGGACTACTTCTAAGTCAAAATTTGGCACAGTTGAAGCACATGAAGCATAAATCCTGCTTTCAGCTAGCATTAAAACAGGCCACTAACTGCTTGTTTGTTTTTGGTGAATACTGTGTTTGGGGGGCCAGAGTCTTCTCCTGGCTTGGTGCTCAGGGTCCCTCCTGGTATAGTCAGGCGACCATAATTCCAGGTGCTGGAGACCCAGCCTTAGTTGACCACATGCAAGGCTACCCGCTGTACTCTCTCTAGCCCCTATTTTCTTACGTGCTTTATCATAATGGTTGGAAAATATTTCAATATAGTTATACTATATTATTGTATTATTATAGTATTATTATACTATACTATAAATATAATCTTGAACAACTAAGTCTTGCCAACTAAAAGCTAAAGACAAGTATTTTTGCATTGTAATACAAGATTATTGTACTCATGGAATAATGTAAGCTAGAGAAAAGAAAGCATTATCAAGAAAATCATAAAGAGGGTCCACAGTGACAACACAACAGGTAGCACTTGCATGTGGATGACCCGGGTTTAATCCCTGGCACCCCATATTGTCCCCTAAGCCTGCCAGGAGTAGTGATCCCTGAGCACTGCTGGGTGTGTCCCCCAACCCCAAAAGAGGGAGAGAGAAATCATTAAAAAACGTACATTTGCAGTTTTGTCCTTTATTTATCAATACCTTAAGTTTATGATATCTGCTTATAAGATCCCCATAAACATAGGCCTACACAGTTCAAACACTTGAAGTACATGGGTCAACTGTGTGCAAACAGAGATACCATAGCTTGCCCAATGGTCTTCTCTCTCTCTCTCTCTCTCTCTCTCTCTCTCTCTCTCTCTCTCTCTCTCCCTCCCAACCCCCTACCCCCATAAAACTCCCATGGCTGAATGCAATTCATGGCTTTTGCACTAGTACAATGGGTAGGTTGCTTGCAAACAACATAGGCTCAACTCTCTGGCACTCCAGATGTTGCTATGTTACTGTTGAACATGCAAGGTGTGACCATGGGGATACCTAGTCAAGAATATAGGGAAATCTCTATGTTCATTTTGCAAATTCCTGTGAATTTATAATTATTTCAAACCAAAAAAGCAGTATTTCATTTAAACAAGAATCCCTACCAGGACCAACCCTTAACCTACTACTGAGTCACATCACACAAAGTTTGAAGCTTTTGCAGCAGAAACAATGTCCATGGATAGTTTATGAAACAGAACAAAACTGCCACGTCCATACCTTTGGGTTAAGCTTTGTCAGGTCATACTTCTTCTCTGAAAGGTTTAATACCTGCAAAAAATTGAAACGTATAGAAATGTAATTATCGTGAAATAAACACAAAATAGAACAGGCATTTCCAGGTGGCAAGAGAAGTCTAGCTTGCCCAGGAGCAACCCGGCACAAGCAGGGGCACAGAGCACAGCCTGCTGAGTCACCAACACGCACAGCCGAGCAGGGCGCACGCGCCAAGCCCGGACGAAGCACATCCTGAGCGAGCTAAAGAGAAACTCATGGGAGCATGAGGGGGATAGAAATCCCGCTCCAGGCCCCTGTCACTTCAGAGCCAGATGCTGATCAGAGTGGAGAGAAGCCCCAGCCATGGCGCCACTAAACAAGGGCCCCAGCTTCCCTTCTGAGCGGGCCTCATCCTCTTAGCCATGGTCTGACGGGGATTCACTCTCACAGGCTTCGCAGCTCAGGAGATGCACAACCCAGTTTCAGCCTTTCTTTCAAAACAGACCATGATTCTCCCTCACAGGACGGTGCAAGGGCACTCTGGCCCCAAGGAGGCCCTGAATGGTCTGGAAAGAACTTTGGCCGACCTTAGCCCAGTACATGGCAGCCCTGGGCCCTGCCAGGGTCTCTGTGGACTGTGGGTGATCAGAGTTCTGTGGACTGGAGTAGGTGACTACCCAGGAAGGCATGGGGGTGGGGCAAAGTTCTAAGAAACAGACAGTGGAGACTCAGAACAGGGCCGGGTGGGCCTTCACACACGTCCTCCTCCCAGAGGAACCCAGGGCCACAGCTCTTCCAGCCGGCCATGGTCACCAGCTCAGGCCCAACAGAGGCTGCAGAAGTCTGACAGGGCCATGCAGTCCTCTGGGACGAACATGTGGACAGAGGGGGAAGACGAGCTGCGTCTCACAGGGAGGTCAGGGCGGACCGAAGGCTGACTCACCCCACAGGGATCACCACACGAGAAAGTGAGCAGGACAGTGCCACCGCCACCAGATACCAGGTCTTCCGGGGCACACGTGGCAGATCCTGGCATGAGACAGCGCCCTCCACACTGCTCCTCAGACCCATGCACTAGCCACCGGGTTCTGGGACACTCACATGACCCTCCAGTTACAGGAGGGAGGTGGCACTTTGCCTGCCAGCCAGGGGGACAGTCTGAGGCCGTGTGCTGGAGCTGGGGAAGCAAGACAGGGTGGGGGTCCCCCACATGGTGATGGTGGGGCAGCCACATTGCAGAACAGGGACGCTTCCCTGTCACGTCCAAGGGGACAGGAGTCCCTGCACAATTCTTGGTGCACGCCAAAACCCTGCAAACGCTGCTGGACTCAGAGGTCAGAGGTGGGTGGGCTGCAGTCACCCCCACACGGTGCCTGGGGCGAGGGCAGCTAATACCTGCTCAACCACCGTCTCGGCCACGGCCCCCACTCACCAGGTAGTTGTCCCCATGTTTGGACCTCAGCATGCGCGTGACCTCCTGCAGGTTATGCAGGTAGGACTCCTCCGAGCAGCCCGCAGGGAAGGACACGGCAATGATGCGCTCAGTGATGTAAGTGAGGTCCAGCTCGTGGCTGTTTTCCATGGTGCAACTCAGAGCTGGCAACCTGGAGAGAGGGACTCTGTGAGACGGGGCCAGGAGCCACACAGGACGTGCAGGTCACCATCTCTGGGCACAGGGCAGGGGACACGCATCAAGGCCTGAAATTTCCTCTCTCAACTGTTCCTCCCTCTAGAGGGAAGAAGTCTTCATTTCCTTCAAGGCTCAGCTGGGACAAGGCAAGCCAGCAGTCAGGAAAACTAAGAAGAGGCTGGCCAGCAAGCTGCGTGCGGACTCTGGGCCAGCCTGGCCAGGAGGAAGGTCAGAGCAGTAGCCACAGAGCACCTGTCCCAGCTTTGAGTGTCAGTCAACAGCTGCAAGAAGCACCTTGGGGAGAGGAAATATGCCAGCAGAGACAGACCAGCTTGTCCACCTGCAGCTTGAGGGGTGAGTGTTGAAGCAACCACAGGAAATGAGACCCCCTGAGGCAAGCGGAGCAGGCAGTGGAAGGACCCTCACTTCCCTGGGAGAGACACTTACTGACGAGCTCCGGGCCCAGAAAGGAGTAAGAGGAGGACGGATACCGCTGTCAAGAGCAGAGGAGTCCCAGGGTCTGGGAAACCATGGCTACGCCCTGCAGGGCTTCCCGTCCTGCCGCCCTCAGCACAGGGACCACAGGTTCACTACTCAGGCCCATATCTGCAATGCTCCAGGTGGTGGCAGGACAAAAGGAAAATGTCCAACCCATGACAATCACAGCCACCATTAAATCAGAGGGATGCATGAACTTTTCTCCAATGCACCCCTGCATCTGAGTTTTCTCTCCCGATGAGCCAGACATGGAAGGAAGCCGGTTCTGATGACATTAAAAATCAGATCAAGGGCCCAAGCAATAGTCCAGTAGGTAATGCACTTGCCTTGCACGTGGCCAACCTGGATTTGATTCCTGTCATCCCATTTGAGCACCATCAGGAGTAATCCCTGGGTGTAGAGTAAGAAAGAAGTTCTGACCACCATTGGGTGTGCCCCACCAAAAAAAAAATTTTTTTTTACTCTGAATTTTTGCACAATGAGCTAAAAAAAAAATGGATAATGTCCCTGATGGCAGCCCTTCGGGGACACATTCTTCAATTAAGAATCTAGTAGAACCTCCTCCCAGAATTTTCTTCTTCACAATCGAGCCATGGCAGTATAGCTGCTGACTGGAAGACAAGATTTTCCCACTACATGGGGCATATAAGAGCAGGAGGATGCATCCGCCAGGAAAAGCAGCATGAATATAGTGTGTGATGCCTCCCAGTTACTTTTTATTTGGGGGATTTAATTCAGGGCCTTATACATGCAAAGCAAGTGCCCTACTGCTGAACTACACCCCAATTAATTTTTGAGATGAAAAGAGAACTAGATTATCAAATAGTAGTACCTAACTCTAAGGGTAAATTCAAAGCCAGAGACAGGAGAAGAAACTGGGTCAAAGAAACAGACACACAGACTCACCTGAACGGTTTGTGACAAATGAGAGATGCAGGTGGCAGGGGAAGCCGCAGAACCTGCAAACAGCAAACACGATCATTCAGATGTCCCCATCGCCGGCCAGTCACACACAGCAGGTCCCATTGAGAGGGAACAAAGGCAGCTGCTGCCGGTTTAATCATAAATGGGAACTCAAACACTCTGGCTGCTGCCGTGGTTATCACCTGCTAGTGTCCAGAGCAAATGAGGATATTCAGCCCCGAGAACTGAGGACCTCAAGTGACCCAACGCTATTAACTAGAAGCTGCAGAACAGACTTCTGTGGTAACACAGTGAGGACAGTTAGTCACTGAGCACAGGCAACTGTCTGTCAGACTCGGGAGATCTCTGTCAGTGCTGGCACCATCAGCATGACTATCGATCGAGTTCACCTGCAAGAGGATTCTTGATTATATCTACTCATTCTGTTTCAAACCTTAACCAACAAGGAGGCTGAAATGATAGATTACATGTCTCTTCTGCTCTCACACCGCTGTGCATGCACGTGTCTCCATGTCTAAATGGGCTACATCATGCGTAAAGTCCCATCCTGGCATTCAGATGATACCGAAGTGTGGTTCTGGCCACTGTCTCAGGAGCTGCACCAGCAACTGTGTGAGTCAGAGTCAACTTCCACATTTCAGAAGGAAGGGTGAGGGCCTGTGAAAGCAGGCAGGGCAGGAGGACCCCAGAGAACCTCCACAGGCCTTGATGCCCTTCCGCCCACCTGCCTCCTTCCTCTGCATTCTCTGGGGAATTCCCTCTAGGCCACTGTGTCTGTGGACCCTGCGTCTGGACCATCCTGAGTCCACACCCAGTGAGTGATCTGAGTTAAAACTGCAGCAGGACCTGAGGACGCTGGCTCTCCATCCCCCACCCCCATTCCAACCTGGACCTCAGGACCCTTCTCAGACATAACCTCGCAGTCCTGACTTCACTTGGAGTCTCCAGGACTCCAAGAATATGAAACAAGGGAAAACGACAGGAAACCCAATGCCGAATGGAGAGCGATGGTTTTCCTGATGCCAACACAGTCCACACTTGGCCAGACCATGTCTGAACCAGTGACCTGAGACAGTACTACACAGAAGGGCTGGCGGGAACATCCTCCACTCACAGACTGGCTCAGTGCCTCCTCACACCATGGACACAGCCGGCCGTCTTCCACATGCCCAGCAGGACCTCCCAGGGCCTGTCACAGTGGCACTGGGGCTGTGCAGCTCAGTCCTGCGGTGTGGACCTCACCTACCACAGCTCCCTGCCCCCAGACAATAGGAGCAGGTGCTGCCCTCCAAGGGTGCGGGTCCCCCAAACTCCCATGGCCACAGTCCCTAGCAAGCCCGTAGTACTGAGGGCTGCCTCACAGATTCCGCTGACCTTCTCAGAGTTCAGCTCCAAACCTTTATGTCTCAGAGCAGAAAGACAATGAACAATGAGATCTGGCTGCAGCTACTGGAAAAGCAAAGATAAAATATAAAAAGGTTTGCTGTTGGTTGGTTTTTGGGTTTTTTTAAGAGTTTGTAAGGGCGTTCTGGCTATGACATCTGTCACCCCATCAGTCGCTAGGGTGGACTCGGCTGCTGTCTCCCTCCTCCCTGACCACTCCAGGTGCTCTTTCCCCAGCTGTGCACTCGGCCAAAGAGCTCTGAGCACCTTCTCCAAGAATGACTTGGAATAATAACCTGAGACATGCACCAATCTAATATCTTAAGGACAGCCTGACAAAACAGATGAAAAGCATTTAAAACACAGGAAGCAGGTGACTTGGCAATGCAAGCATCATTTTCTGGGAAAATCACTCACAAAATTCATCTATATTATTGGACAACTCCAACCCCTCTCCCTGGAGCTCTGGAACAATCAAGATGCCTTCTGCGACCTTGTTCAAAGAGGTAGTTTCCAGGGCCAGATTTACAACTGCACCAAGAAGATGCTTGCCATGCTCTTGGCCAGCCTGGGTTTGAGTCCCCACTGGCACCGCATACAGCCCTGAAGCACCGCCGGAAATGATCCCTGAGCACAGAGCCAGGAGCAAGCCCTGAGCAAAATGGGGGTGGCCAAAAAAAACCAAAATGAAACAAAAAATAAATAAAAGAAGGTGGATTTTCAAGGAGCTTCAGAATGATTTTTAATTGATTTTTAATGAGGGAACAGTAAGTCAAATAAGTTGTGAGCCTCTGGTCTATATGAACAACCCTATACACTGGACAATTGTTTATGGAACAGCCTCAGATTTCCATCACATGCCTGGATTAAATGAGTTGAAGGGATCCAACAGGAAATGTCACAGCTCTGCAGATAATGGTGGTTGTTACCAAAACCGAGTGCCAATACTAACCAAAGGCCCAATTATTTCAGAGACAAGAGTTGATAAAGAATTCATCCAAGTGCTAGCCCTGAAGAAACCAGAGGCAGAGAACACTGGACATCGAAACTAGCCTGTCTCTGGCCCTCTGAGGGCAGCCATGGGCAGCTGGCAGCAGTGGCTCAGAGGGGCCCCCGTGCTCCTCAGGGGAAGGGTCAGGGTCTTGGCCACTGCAGGGCTGCAGGCCACCCTTCTCAAAATGACTGTACTTCCTCCTTGACCAACACAGTGACCATCCAAAGCCCCGATGTGCCTGTTCATTACACTCAGTCTAGCCCAGTGTTTCAGAACCAGTGTCTCTGGCACAGACCCAATAATGAGTTCGATTGGCCCTCTGCGCCTAGCCCCTGATTTCCATCCACACCACTGTGAATGCAAGATGCCCCAAGCACATAATCTGTAAGGAGATGAGCACACAGCATGAAACAGCACATACCACTACATTTCAAGCAGACAATGACCCCCAGAGCCACCCTTAACTATTAACTAGCTCCAAGGGACTTGATTCCATAATTGAGAATTTTTCAAATCCTCTGGCCTGTTCAGGAAGAAAATGCAGACTCAGACCCACCAAGATGTGCAAGTATTAAGTGCCAACGCCAAGCAGGAGAGAAGCCAGCCACACCTCAGAGTGTGAAGGGCCTCCAGGCCCAGACCCAGCACCAGTGATATCCAAGGGTTTCCCAGTCACTCCTGACACTGCCGCAGGTGAGCTGCAAGGAGAAAGTGGAGTCACCTCCCAAAGCTTCCTCCACATGCCCTCTCCTCTCTCTGCCTGAAGGCTCACCCGAGCCATTTTTGTTTTCCTAGTGTCCCCATCATTATCTCACAGATACACAACTCTGCCTGCCTTCAAGACAAAGCACTGGGTAGCCTCCAGGTTCCCAGAAACGCCAGCACCCAGGAGAGCAGTGAAGAGGCTTTCTCAGGGCAGTGTCTGTCCTGCAGCTGTCCCAGAGCCCTGAATCTTCCCTGGAGATCCCTGACTGTCCCTTGCCCCAAGAAGCCTTGTTCAGTGTGCCCAGCATGGATGGACATCAGCTAGATGAACGGAGATAATGAAGCAAATCCATGCACGCAAATCCCTACCCATGCTCGCATGCACTAGACGCACTCAGAAAGCCAGGCTGAAACTCCCGCTCCCACTTCGTTTCCTCTGCAGTCACACAACTGTACCCTAGGTCAATTCCCACCATACAAACAAGCCCTGGTTCCAAATGAATGCACATGAACCATGCACAGTAGGAGTGATTCTTCAGCCCATCACACCTCTCAGCCCCATTCCCCTGCCCCAGTGACAAGAGCTGGAACTGCCAGCACCCACTGCCTGATACTCATGTTGGCAAGGCCTCACATGGTCCCTCTGTTGGGGCATGCGCCCCTATCGTGGAAGGAAGAGCAAAGGGGCTTATGTGCTGAGAGGGCATTGCAGGCAGGGCTTGTGCGAAGGCCCTAAAGTGGGACTGGCTGCTTCTCGAAAACAACCTGTGTGCAGGAGGGACCACTGTCGTCAGGACAGGCCCAGGAAGAGTAAGACTAAGGGAGTCAAAAGGGGCCAGCCCACCCACCTTCTCAGCAGGAACCCCACAGGACGGAGAGAAAAGCAGTCCTGCACCCTTTTCCTGCCCTCTGGCTCCTCATTCCATAGCAACGGGCAGATTCCTCAAGCCAAAGGGCCTAGGTCCCTCCAGCTACCCAGTTGCATACCAGGGTTCCCTCTGGACTCCCTCTGCAAGGTGATCCCCACCCCACCCCCATACTGCTGCTAATAGGTGAAGGTCAGCAAAGAGTGCCCCACCTGGTTCCACGGAACACCCTGGAGAAAAGCACCTCTGCTGAACCCCAGTTGAAGGAAGTATCCTTCAGAAAGACTAAGTTGTCTCAATCACACAGGAAAGGCACTGCGGCAACTTCTGACACCAAACTATGGACACTTTTCACACCAGCCTAGCCAGTCCTGCCTGGTCTGTGCCAGGGTCAAACCAAATTGTAACGTTAGACACCCAAACTTAAGGGGAGCAGTGCGGCCGAGTCAGGGGACGGAGCAGCCCCTGCCCCTTCGGAGTCAATTTCTGACTGAAATCCCCTCACAGGAAACAATTTTCATCAGGGGATTCATCTGGAAACCGGAACAGTGTACAGGAGCCAGAGCTGCCTGGCTGAAGCCCACAGCTGTCCAGAAAGCTCTGTATGCCCTCAAATAACAAGAGACACCGCAGGGCCAGGAGGAAGAGTGGGGCCTTTGCACAGCCCTCTGCAGAGCAGGAAGGTAACAGGGGCCTGATGTCTCTGCTCACCTTTCCAAGCACCGCCGCTCTGGGACAGCCCCTGATACACATGTTTTACTGAAACATGTGCCAACTGACTCGCAGTGATGAGAAGCTTACACCCAACTTCATGGAAGACGTCTAAGAAAGTCGCTATACTGAGAGCCCAGAGCGGCAGGTGTATAAGAAGGGCTTACGCATCCAACCCAGGGCCCACTTCTCTGCAGTGACCACCCCAACTAGAAGCACCACACTGTCCTCTCGCCTGATCTCCAGATGGGGTGCACTGCCCACGTCTGCCTAGCTGAGCCTCCCTTCCCCTGTGTTCTTTTTGGTACCTGCTTATCACACCTGTAGCCTCTGAAGGTGCCCAGAGGAAAAAAGAAAGGATAGAGGAGAGAGCAAT